CGGGAGGGGGAGGTTAGGGGTGGGGAGTTTTATACTCCAGTTGCTGTTGTGGGGCAGGGGACTTGGAATAGTTGTGATATGGGAAAGGCGAGAGAGTTGTGGGAGTGGAGTGAGAAGGCTGTTGAGGGGTATTTGAAATGAGGTTATGATTGATGCTTTATATGAATTAGGGAAGTGTAGATTTTGTATGTTACATTCTGAACATATGTGGGTGGTGTATGTTGTATATATGATCTTGTACAAGTGTTTTGTTCATATCACTTTGAACTACATATGATGATCAAACCTTCAAAGGGGTCTCAAGATCCTGTAAGAGATCCAGGTCTCCCAAAAGAAAAAGACTAGCATTGGACATCAGCGTTATCCAACAGTCACGGATACCATTCTAAAATACTACTGGTAAAACTGAACCTCATTTGAAATTGATCTCGGAAATTTAAATATCCAAGTACCGCTCAAACAAAATGAAAACTAAGATGCTATTCAAATCACTAGATCTGATAAGAAAACTCTCGTCCTCTTGCATATCTGAAAAACTCCGCTGGAAGCCTCACTTCTTAAGAACGCGTCAAAGATTAATGCACTAAATTGCTAGTCAATTCGCTATCCCTTTGAGGCTTTAATCGATCAGCGAGCGGTATAGTGGACTAGCAGAATATGATATCAAGATCAAGTAACGAACAAAAGCGTTTTTTTCAACTATATCAGACCCACTCACTTCATCTCAAATTCTCAATTGCCTTTTCGATAGATTGTTTACCTCTCTCTTCTACGTCAGGTCAGAACAAAACACTTCAACATCTCTCCTTTCTCGATCCAGTCTGTACGTGGGCTGACATCCGCGAGCTTTTGCTTCAATCCGTCGCTTTCACGTCCTCGTTCTTCCGAACATGATCCCAAACTGAGATATACAGGCATACAACTCGAAATATGTTATCTTAATAAAGACTCGGATCTCAGATAACTCAGGAAGGCAGCAAAGAAGGTTTTCTCGGCTTTGGTTACTGGTGCTATGCCGGTGGGTGCCAGGCGAATTTTCTCAACACCAGCCAAGTAAAGTAAATAAATGATCACCTCGCTTAATTGACTGTCAATATACTTGGATGTTGAAGACGATGTTGGGATGAGTTTGGTTGTAGATGCGGCGTTTTGGACAGGTTTGAATTTATATGACGGAAGATTAAGGGAGATTTGTGTGGTTAGAGGAAGAGGAATGGGTGTTGGGTTTAATCGATACGCGGGGTTAGTATTTGCTTGCAGTTGCTCCCATAATAGAATATCTCTATTTCGTCTCAGGATCGGTCTTGCCTCCCAGAAGAGAAAATTGTGTTAGAAGTAACCAGTAGGAAGGTGTGCACTCGCTTGACGTTTTAGGTGGTTTTTCTGGGCTCGTACTTGTAAGATTACTGTAGCAATAATCAGGACAATCCCAAAGTGACCTAGAGATTTCGAACAATGGTGGAAGTTTACCAAGGATTACATTTTTCTTTTCTCATGAACGAAGGCAAATATATGATCACTCTCGTGTGACTCTGGTTAGCCATCACGGCGGACACAGAAAGCGGGTGTGTGTTGCAGTGTATCCGCGTCACTTAATGCAAAGGATGTCAAGTTTTCAGTGTTCTGATGATTTCAAGTGACCAAGATGATGAACCTGAATTCCCAACATAACTATAGTAATTGCCTAGCAAGCTTTGAGTTAATTACTTATGAATGGTAACCCAGAATAGAAGAGCTGCGAAAAAACGTGCTGCCAACTTTTGTGTCTACCACTAGCCCGTATACCCCGACTTCCTATACCCGTCCGACCCTGCAGCAGACCGGTACTCTGTATACGAGTTGGAGTTGAGTCTTAGGAAGACGGGCCGCAACTGCACTGCCCTTGCCTATAAATCTCTTATATTAGTAACGAGAAGTATTATGTTCTTTTTTCTGAATACTTATAAGCAATGACGCCTTACTCCTTTCCCACAGAACTCCGTACAATCTTCGGGAATCTTGCATGCTCAATGGCGTTGCGAGGGAGATGAGGGCGAGTTTAACTATTGCGAAACGCATGTTGGAATTTGCCGCTTATATGTGTATGCTCGAGAATGAAACAATCTTCGTATAAGACTCTTTGGAGATTTACGAGGAACGAGTAAAATCTTCCAGTGAAAAGCTGGTATCTGTTACATGCTATTGGATTGTGGATAGACTATTTAATATCTAGGACTTAGCTAGATACTCTCCATCCTCTGAATACACCCCTGATTCCACCCACTCTACAAACCACATTATATTTCTCTTCCTATGTGTCTCAGGAAATCGGATGACGAAAAGGAGGAAACACAATCGTAGGCTAAGTAGACAGCGGTTGGGAGCCATATTAGTGTATCGGGATTCGGCAGAAACTAGACGCTAGGATATCCTCGTTTGTATCTTTAGCATAACTGCCCCCGACCATGTCTTTGAATCGAGTTTCATATGCACGTATTCATCTTATACTTCGTAATGAGGACATACTGTACTTCGGGGTACTTTGGATTATGAGACTAGCTAACTTTACTAGTAGGTTTGTAATGCTGCAATTGCAAGGCTAGGTTAAGTAGAAAAACCATATTCTTACATCACGTATCATGTAGACTCATCTTGTGGTTCGGACATCGCGAAGTACATGTACTTCGGATAATGAGACCGGCAGACTTTCAAAGTAGGTTTGCAATGATG